GGAAATCTTCCACCTCACATATATGCAAAAAAGGACATGTTGCTAGGATTAAAGTATGTATACAGTATGGACAGAGCTCAAGCATAAGTCACAGATGGGAAGATGGGTGACCCATAAATGATGTCTTCTTGATGTGTTAGTATGTCTCAACCTATACCTAAAAAAGAATTTCCTTTAGCTTTTTTCACCTTTGATTTGTAACTCCACATATTGAAATAGCTACTGAATTTAAGGGTATTTTAGAATTAATGAGGTTATAAGCAGTCAACCCTTGGCCTTTCTGTGAAATACAAAGATGTTTATACTGTGAAAGTAATGGACTGTGGTTGAACTAGCCAGACCACCCAATTCATCTCATTAAGAAGCACACACTGGAAAGTAGACAGGAAGTGTAATTGAAAATGGAAAATAATGTGTCTGTCCCTCAAGCTACTATTACCTGCAATACTGTCTTTTCATGGTTCTCAACATTTTAGGATGAATAGCTTATGTTTTAAAAATAAAGCAGTAGTCTCTTTCTCAGTTTTTGCTGAATTAGCTTTATCTCATCCACACAGACACATTAAAAAAATAATGGCAAGGAAAGTGTTATTCAGTGAGCCGAGGCAAACAGAGTAGTCGATTGTTCCACCATTTTGTGGTGAGACATAGGTGTTTAGGGAGAGATGTTAATTCTAGGAAAAGCTGACTTGGCCAAAATGAAACACAGCATTAGTAAAATACAGAAGCAAATGTGGTCAACCTCCCACTACCGCAGAGTTTTTCACACATTCTTTGACGACTTAGTTCAGTTAAATTCATGATCCATAAAGCACAGAGCAGTAAAATTCATTTCCTGTTCTTGTGTTGAATAAAAGTATTGCTAATCATGCTTGAAAAACCATTGCCTCTGTGAAGACACGGTAATTCTAGTTAGAAGACTACATAACTACACATATTTTTTCCATTTTGATAAGCCATTAACAGAAACAGCATTTTAAATCTTCTTTTAAAATTCCTCAAAATAACTTAACACAGGATTTTGGTCACCAGTGCCCCTACTCTGATCAAATGCCAAACAAAAATGTCTTCAAAAGTCGACTCATCTACAAAATTCCTCTTTTCACTTATTTTGTTTTCTAAGAATACCATGATCCATCTATGGAATATGGGAAAATGATACTTTTGGATTAGTCTTAGGATGTTTAATATTCTTCTCTACAAGTTTATATAAAAGTAATTGAACTTTAAAATAAACTGTTAATATATACTACAAGGCACTTGCATGCATTATAGTAAGTAAGTCATTATTGAGTTTTATTTTCTCTAGTTCATCTCCTCCCATACATGTTTAAATTCCTGTGTGGATCATGAAAACAAATTGTAAACACACAATTGTTTATCATTAAGTATTAGGACTTCATTTTTTTAATTAAACTTTCTCAGATAGCTTTATCTTATCTTAAAAAGCTATCACTGGAGTGTGAGCAAACATATCAATATAGTAAAATGTTGGGAGACATTTCTAAATACATTTACCACCACCTATAAAATTTTGAAAATTCATTTGGGGGGTAATTGATGTGAGGGCTTTAAATGGAACTGTAAGGGAAAAACAAAATTTATTAAATTCTTTTCAGTTCAATGCAACTCCTCCAAAAATTACTATTTAATATTCAAATAATTGTTTATGAATATTCATATTATTCTACACTTGATATCTAGTGTGGCTCCTAATATGTAACGGACTATCTTCAGTGGAATTTTAAGTATACAACACAACTAAAAACAAGTTGCTGAACAACTCATCACAAAGACTAGAGGGCACAGGCCAAGGGAACATGGGCGGTCACAGATTTGCCCATAAGCACGATTCACAAAGGCAAAGGTAGGTCTTCCTGTAGGAGGAGCTGCTGAGCAAAGAGCACCATTTCTAACTCCAAGCTTTCTTTGATGGAGGTAACAATGCAATTGGACATTACTGAGCACCAACTATTTGCTCAATGCTGATCAAAATGTTTATTGACTCCATGATGCCTCCCAGCAACCCTATGCTAGGTGTTAATATGATACTTGTTTCATAAATGAGAAAAGAGAGAGTAGATCATTCATCTCAGAGCTAGTAAAATTGGTCAGTCAAGTGAAAGAGACAGGATGGAGGAAGAGGATCCCAGGTTCATCCAGGCAGTGGATACTAACAGAATGTACATGCGTCTGAGTTTGTCTGGTGAACTGGTAGGTTGGGTCACAGATTCTATTTGCATGAGAAGTGAAAATCATCTTGGATTATTCTTAAAAGTAAGGACCCAGGTGTGACCAGCTTAAGCTAGGAGCAAAGTCTTTAGCATTAGGAGGTAAGGGAGAGACCATTCTGATCATCTCAAGTAATTTGTCATTCAGATTTATCTCCTGATCCAGCCCCAATGAACAAGGAAACCTGTGGACAGAGGTTACAGCTGCAATGAAAACTGACAAGAGTTGTTTCACTAGAAACTCTGTAAGGGACACTGCAGGAGAGGACAGTGCCCCAAAAATATGTGATACAGTAATACAAGGAAGGAGATTTAGTCATTTAACTTTGGAAACAGCACTTCTCTAAGAACTTAAAGTCTCTGAATTTTCCAAAGTCTAAATTACCTGTGTTTCTTTTACCTACTCTATCCTGAGAAAACTCTGAAGGTGCAGTTGCTAATTTTACACAACTAAATCCCCAATTCATTACCATCATCCAAAAGAAACATGGGAACCAATTATTTAAAAATAAAATATACAAAAAGCTATGAGCCCATTCCTTATACACTTACCAAACAACAGAGAAACCTGATTCCTGAGTGTTTACCCTAGATAAATGAAAACTTATGTTCAGACGAAAATATGCATGAATGCTCCAAGCAGCTCTATTAATAAACACCACACACTGGAAAAATCCACATGTCCTTCAAGGGCAAATGGAGTATACAGACTGGTGTACCCATTCAGTGGACTATTATTCAGAAACTTAAAAAGAATGAATTAGTGATATACACACAATTTAAATGACTGCCAAAGGCATTATGCTGAGTGGAAAAAAAAAGCAGTCTCATAAGGTTACATACTATATAATTCTATTTATCTAACATCTTTTAAATACCATTCCTATGAAGAAGAGATCAGCAGTTGCCAAGGGTTATGGGGAGGAGGGAGTGATTATAAAAGATAGCACACGAGAATTTTTGCATGGATAGAATAGTTCAGTACCCTGATTGCAGCGACGGTTACACAAATGCAAACATGTTTAAATTTATAAAACTGCACATCAAAGGAAAAATGGTCAATTTTACTAAATGATATATCTAAAATGATAACTAAGCAAACAAAAATATTTACCAATGACCTTAGCATATAGGCTGTGTTGTCAATAAAATTATCTACTTTTAGATAAGAATTTCTTAAAAGCCCTAAGAGAATTGGAGAGAAATAATTGCAAGCTGCACATTTCAGCATCAGCTCTCAGCTATGAGTCAATCTCATATTAAGAACACAACAGGAAAACAGATGTAATTGCAAAAGTTCTCTTAAGAGCAAACACCTCCTGTTTTAGTTCAGCTCAGGAAATCATGTCTTGAGCTCTTCCTGCACACTTTAGCCCTGGGTGGCACGAGAGATGCCAAACAAAAGAAAAAGTGGGAGTATTCACTTAAATACACCAGTGTAATGGACATTTCACTAAATGGGTCACCTCAGTTGGGTTCCTGGGAAAACACATTAATTCGACAGATTTAGTACCTATAACTTTTCTGTAAAGATTTTGTATTGCTTGGCTGAATATCCTGTTTCGAGTCATATCGCAATCATCTGGCATTTTCACACTTCTCTTGCAAGGTAGTTATCTGTTTATTTGCCTTGCCCTACAAAGCTCCAAACAGCTTCGAGGCCACATATTACACACACGGCCGATCTTCATTCTTGGCCCTGCTCTGTGCCTTTCACATTGAAGGTATTCACACAGAATTAACTACAAAATTTAAAGAGGGTGGGAAGAGAGCTTTATTTCAGGATTTCTTTATTCCATCAAGGGCAGGCATTCTGCTTTTCATTCCCTTAACTCACCTTTTCCATATTCTAGAAGTCACATTAGAAAAGTCATAAACAGAAAAACAAGATTTACCTGTTGATAACCATAGGAAGATCCCTTTGATGAATTTCATAACTTCTCAAAATGACTTACAAAACGTTCATGTAATTACATCTCGGTAAGTACAGAGTAGGATGGGGTTTCTATTAGAAGAGTTTCAGAGACGACCTACTAGTCTTTAGTGTGTACGTGCATGTGTTTGTTTGCTTTCATCTGAAATCCTTTCTTACCCTTAGGCTACTATTTTGTGGCCAAGATTATGGTTTAACTTACCTATTCTCTCTTTTTCCTCATCTTATTCTTCACTCTCAGCATCCTTGGTAGAAAATGTGAGTCATTCTCTGAGTCATACAAAAGGACTTTTTAACTGACAGATTATATATCAAGTATTCCTGAATCTCTTCATAGTTGAATCCTAAAAGACCTATTTGGTTAACACATAGAATCATTTCCTCCAACAGCACATTCTTTTCCCATCTGGGCACCATATTTGAAAGCACTTCCTTCAGTCCTGTGGCTGCCATCTTCTCACTTGCTTTACCAAGTCTTCAAAAAACAAAAAGGGCAATGAACGAGAAGGCATCAGGGCCCTAGAATCCTTTCTCTTTTGGACAGAGGGGTAGGACTGTCAGCTTTACTGAGTGTACTCTCAGAAAAGTCCAGAAAGGAGAAGAAAAACTAATGGAGTCCAAAATCCTTCATGATTTCACAGTTACTAACCATGTTCTGTTTTATATCTAAGTCAATGGTAGTGGTTATTACGCAACTCTCTCTGTCTCAGCTGAGAAAGTAACTTGGCCACAAATCTCTTTTAATTTTCTGTAGGGACTAAAACTATGCATAAATGTGATTTTTAACTGAAACTGGTCTCCTGTGCAAGTGAATCACTCTTTAAATGAGGGCATATTTGTTTTATCACGGTCTTAACCCCCTAAGAATTTAAGAGGGCATCCTTCAGGCTAGAGAAGCTTGGCTTCCTGTCATTCCATTAATTCATGTCCCTCATCTGGGTATTAACATAAAAAAGAAAGATCCACCAGTCAATGTCATGATATCCCTGGCACTAATGCCTCAGTGGAGTGAAACAGAAGGTAACTACTTATCCATTAGCAAAAGTGGATTGATTAAACACATCAGAGAGTGATGGATGGGATAACACGCTAGCCAGGCAGTGGTTATAAATGGTTTTGAACTAGAGTGTCTGAAAAATATTCTTCTGTGTTCACCCTACCTGGCTTCAAAGTTTGAATTCATCACTCTTTATCTCTAGCAAAATAAAAGTGAGTTCGCCACAGCATAGACAGTAATTTGATAAAAAGAAATGTCCAGATCAGAAAAGGTTTGAAAACAAAATCATCCAGACCCGACCTGGGTCTCAAGAACCTTGGCCATGAAAGCAGGAGAGTCATGGGATGATGGGAGGTAGATGAGGTGTGCTTGCTTCTCCACTCACTGCTAGAGCTGCCTGCTCTGGCCATGCTTTAGAGAGAGCTCTCAATTTTCCATCACAAGGTCTTGCCATTTGAGTTGTGTGCAAACAAAGCCTCTGCTTTCAAAAGTGTATCTCTCAGATGCAGGTACTAACTGACATACTTCCTAAGTTCACAAAAGCCACATAGTTGCAGATACAGATTTTTTTTTTCCCTCACCAAAGAGCAAGGAGGAGGTGATGAGCATCCCTTGTTAGTTACTTCAGTATTGTCTGAGATTCATTTCACACAGCTTTATCCAGTTCTAATTGTATTACCCATGTTTTTTATTTTCTGGATTCTGATGCTTCGACATCTTGGGG